CCCTTGAAAGATTCAGCCACGTTTTACAGGAACGTTATTTTAGAGTATTGTCGCGAGGGACAGTTTTTTGATATCGAAGTCGGCCGCTGCAAACCATGCCCTCTTGGGACCTACCAGCCAAACTCGTTGCAGAACTTCTGCATCAAGTGCCCTGGCAACATGGTAACGAATGATACTGGAAGTCGATCCATCGAATCCTGTATAAGTAAGCCGTGTTGTATCTGTGGACGTTTCTCTCCATCGTTGGTATGCGGCTTTAAGACGCTACCTGCAGCAGCGAAATGGGACCCACTAGCGGCTTCATGGAATCCCCGAACTATCCGCAAAACTACCCAGATGACATCACGTGCAAATGGCTCATTAAGGCTCCAAAAAAGCGTCGAATCTTGATTTTCGTAATCGACCTCCACCTGGCGGACGACAACTGCGGAGATTACTTGGTAATGAGAAGAAACAGTAAGTGGCCATCGGTTTGTGTGGTAGTGTGACACAGCGTCAACAGGTATTTCGTCAGAGTCGCCTTACTCTCCGGTGACGTTCGAAGCTTGCACCAGTCGCGCCCACCCGATCGTGTTCACCGCCAGGACGCGCAGGCTTTGGGTAGAGTTCCACTCGGACCACGCCAACAGTCTTCAGGGGTTCCACATGCGATACGTGTTCTACGAAGGTAAAAATTCAACGCATCACTTATTTCTTGCCAATGTTTGAGGAAGAGAGTAAAGCAAACTGTGGTCTGTTATGTTCGCCCTTTAAAGTGAGGGAAAGCTTATTACAACAGCGAATTTTTTTCTGATATTTTTGAACTCAGAAGTCGTAGAAGTCAACGCAAAACTGTAACTCGGAAACCGTTCTTTTATACACAGCGCCATACAGTACTCCATCACGGTATCACATGTGCATTTTCAAGTTGATGGAGGTTCTAACTTTTGGTTTCTGTGAAGGTCATGTGTAGCATACGGCTCGTTTGGAGCTGAGAGACGGTCTTTCGTCCCGACCGACAGAAACATCAACATTGGCTATCATTCGATCACCAAATTACATTGTCTATGATCTGACAGGTTCCGCTGCTTCTTTGGTATGACTTCCGACAAAGGAACAAAATACTCTATCATTATAATGCACTGATTTTAAATTTATGCTAAAATAACTGTATATTGTACTTTGGAACGAAAAACATTAATGGTACAAAATGCGAAACTAGGGAGCAGGTAGCTAAATTATCATGGCTCCTTAGGACACCCCAAATCTCCTTGAGGACACCCATCCTGTCAATCACTTCTCAGAGTACCTTACAACTTCCAACCAATATAGTCGGTAATTTACTATTCTCGATCCCATTGATATTACGGCATCTCCTTAATCTTGTTCCATCGCAGGAAACGCAATAATGAAGGTAGCACGGTGGACAACAGTCACGCTACATAGTACGTACTGTAGTAAGATAGTAAAAAATGTCATTCCCCATTCAACGAATTATCGCAATCAATATGCTAGTACGGGCTACAGTATTTTGCTGGATTTTCCATATCTTTACCGTCAAAAAATAAGAGGATTTTCTGAAATGACTGCATTTTCCATTCTTGGTGTGTTCATTGGTGTCATCGCTTGTTCAGACTGTAGAAAAGGCATAGTCGAAAATGTTTTTGCAGCTAATTTCATTGGTAACCCTTTCCCCAATCACTGCGATGGGTTTGTAACCAGTGTCCTCATTTTACTGTCCATATTTCAATATCGTCACCTATGTGATCTTTTTCCTCTTACTGCAGATGGGCACTTAGCCGAGATTTTCCACAGAATCCCAGTCTAGCCTGTGTTCGGTCAAGAAATGGCCCTTTCTTCCCTCCCTATCCATCTACACATCCTACATCCATCCTACTTCTAATTATAATTTCAATTTTTTCTCTTTTGCAATGATATATGATATCACAGGCTTCTATGTGTGCTCTTATCAATTCATGCATCCTCCTACTTTTTCTTATAATTTCCAGCATGCAAATTTTCATGTTGCTTTGTTCAGTTTACAACCAGTGTGCATTTTTCAAGTCGGTGTTTCGCATCGATACGTCAGACCGAAAGTACTCACTGATCGAGTACTTTCTATATCTAGCATAAGAGCCGTTTTCCAGATAGCAGCAATTTCAATCTTCAAATACAAAAACAAGCTGTCCAGATATACTGAGTTTTGCAGTTCTTGAAATCAGAGTCTATAAGTTTAAACATGTCGTTGGGCGCGTATTTCTTAAACATGACCTGGATCTTCCTCAGGCCTATTTTTGTCCTGTTTTAACGCCTGCATCGTTCAGCTCGTTGATTCATCTTTAGGGTTCTTCCGGTGGCTGGCTTTCAGACAATCAAAATATGGTTGGGATAAAGTGCAGGTGGAATAAGTAGTGCCCATTTATGCCTAATCAATGATTTTCTCGGCGAGTATGTCGAAAACCTCTTCTCTGGCTGCTGACATTGTAACTCTCTGTCGAACGCCTTTTCCGATTTGAATTTGCTTACACTTTCGTGAAGCTTCACGTTGGCAGTTGCATTTTGGTAAATCATGGTGGTGCCATTTTTGTATTTTCTTCTCGATTAAATGTTCCTATAAGAATCCGTACAGAAAGGATGCAAACTGACGTATGTTCGTTCTCGAAGGCAACGAATCCCAGTCTGAATGGAAGCTGATGCTTGTTGCCCTGTCGAGTCACTGTACGATGTTCAATCTATTTCTGAATCCTGTTCTTTTTTCGCTGTGCACGGCATGATTTCTCTTGAAGTCGTATGGAGTCGTCAGTATGGGCATACTGTAAAGTCTGTAGCAATGTGTGGTCGATTCGGCACTGAACAAAACTAAGAGTATAATACGAATGTTATGCGATGAGGGAACGAGTCTTCTGCCTCGCACTCCAATTTCAACTGTAAAACAAGCACAGAATCACCGTGATTCTCAACAGATCATTATTTAAAATCCGTCTTTTCCTCAGACAAGTACCACGCGCTGATTGAGGATATCGTTCACGACAATCGACTATTCTCGATGCCGCACCACGAGGCGATTTTGAAGAACCGAAAGTTCCTCAACTTGTTCATGGACGTCATCGCCGAGCCGAATAACTACCGCAAGTACCTGAACATTTCGCTGCAAATATTTCCAAAGTCGTTCTTTGACCTGCTCTGGCCGAAAGTCCACCGCTTCTTCGACCTGGGAGACTGGGGTTTGGCTTAGCTGTTCTTTCAAGGGTCGATCTTTGATTCCAGCCAATTTATAGATCCTACTCTATAGCCGTATGTTGTCCATCGTCGAATGCCGTGTCGTCTGTGCTGCGGACGGCGTTTGGGCTGGATTTCACTGCAGTGCTGTTTCGTCGATGTTTCACGAACGGTAGCACGGAAACGTTTGCCGGTTCAACGTCTGGACTTTGCGCTCGAAACGTGTCCAATTCTCATTAGATTTTCAGGGTCTCGACTTCGCTTTTCGATCGTTTTGTTTATCGTTCCGTCCGCAGTATTATTATTATTATTATCATCATCATATTTTGATGTTTCGCCAATTTTGATGTTTTATTCTTGAGTCATCCTGTGCTATATTTATACATTTGTACACAAATTGAATGTGAAAATGCGTCGTCTGCTGAGCGAATGTTTTTGTCGTTTGTCATTGCTGTTTAAATTTTTCATATTTGTTCGCTTATTAAATCGGTGTTTAAGAGAGGTTGCTCACAAAAATCTATTCTATTAGATCCATCCATGCTGCCCGTGAATCTCACCGACATCCCGTCATGATGCAGGAATGTGGCTTGCACAAAGGCCACTTGTTTACTTCTGCATGTCGCAGATGTTCCCCGATGAGTTCTGTGGATGTTTAAAATAGGCATTACATACATTTTTCCGGATAATTTCAGTTATGTG